CTCTTATCATTTTTAAATTTCTTTTTAAATCTCCTAACTAAACACAGTGTAAAAAGCAAAAAATAATTTCTAAAAAAAGAATGTATTGATGTCTCATTTTTAAATTTTTTTCGAAATATCTCTATGTTGATTTCATGGACAATCATATAGTTTAGAATTCAATCATATAGGTAACAATTTATTTTTCTAAAACAAAATGCCACCGACACCCCATCACTACTAGTGTATATATAAGTCGAACCGAAGTCAAGAAAAATACAGAATCATCCACAAAGATGGGTGATCAAAAAATAGTTTCCGCGTCACCGATAATGGCGAACGCCGACGATTTTTCGGGAAAATCGCCTCATGTTGCTGTCCTACCCGGCGCCGGCATGGGTCATCTGACTCCGGCCCTCCGGCTAGCCGCAATGCTATCTTCACGAGGCTGTCTCGTAACTCTAATTGCAGTCAAGCCTACTGTCTCTGCTGCTGAGTCCACCACCATCTCTAACTTCTTCTCCACCTACCCACATATCAATCGTCTCGATTTTGAAATCCTTCCCCGTAAGCCCCCCAGTTCTACCAACGACGACCCTTTCTTCATTCAATTCGAAGCCATTAGTCGCTCTGTTGTTCACCTTCTCAAGCCTCTCTTGTTATCTTCCTCTCCACCTCTCTCCAGGGTTTTTAAAGTAAGAACTCCTCAGATTCACACTCTCAATTTGTCCCTTTCTTGTTTATAGGAAATGAGTTTGCTAAAAATGAGGCCAAGGGTCTGAAATTGGCATGGGTTTGTATATAGAGACTCTGTCTTGTTCTCGGTTTGTCTCTAAAATGTTTTTCAATCTCGTTTATAGTGGTGGAGGAGTGAGAGATTCGTAGATTCGAAGAATGAGGTTCGGTGGATGATGGACTTATGGGACGCCATACTGGAGTTGGGCAGAGTCAATACATGTGGGGGAGAATATGTCTGATAACAATAGAAGATTTCTTCGATGATCTGATCCGAGAGGCTGCCAAGAAGGAGCGGCAGTGGGTTCATTGATGATACGCATTACATTGAGTCCAGCAATTACACCATCATCGTTTGCTGCCTCACGTTGAGAATCATTGAAGTAGGCAGCCTCCATGTCTGTTCAACAGATCTGCAATGCAACTATGGCGCTCTCTCTCTCTAGATTCTCTCTCTAGAATGGAGAGACAAATCATCGAATTGGTTTATGGAGGTTTGAAGGGTGAGGGATATGAAATTTCTCTGTAGGGACCTTAGACATCATAATATAATTTTGTGGACCTCTTCCATTACGAAAAGTGAGAGAGGGACCCTAGACCGATTTTCCCTAAAATTTAATCCACAATGATATAAGATAATATGATATGATATGTGTTAATTTCTTATTTTTTATACACCCAATGACTGATAAAAGGGCCAAAACCCTCACCACATCATTTTTGGTGAATTTATGACTCTAAAATTGTGGGTCTAGGAATGCAAAAAATAAAATAAAATAAAAATTATGGTTAATTAAAAAAAAACCCCAAGATTTCATGCTTATTTCACTTTAAATCCTAATATTTCAATTTCAACAAATTAAACCATGAAATTTCATCCGTATTTCAATTTGTCTCCTTAGTCCATCTCCGTCTGTAAGGTAACAGAGGGGTTTAAAATGAAAAATGTATAAAACCTTGGCATTTTTTGTGTAAACAATCATTTTTTTTTTAAATTAAAGAACTAAAAATAATAAGGATTATTTACAAAATAAATCCCAAATTTTATGTATTTTTCACTTTAAATTTCAGAATTTTTTATTTTAAACTTCATCTGTTATTGTGCACAGAAGGAGATGGACGGAGGGAGCACCTTGCAATACGTGGAACTTCATAATTTAATTTGTTGAAATTAAAATATTAGAATTTAAAGTGAAAACACCTAAAACTTCATAAATTTTTTTTTTTCATAATTAACGCAAAAAATTATGAGTAGTTTAGTGAATGAGTCCTACAATTGATGTGCGGGTGAACACGTCACCAATTTTTTTTATTTTTTTTTATCAGCAAAAAAAGAACAACTTTATTGATGAAATTCAACAAAACAGATGAAACGCATCAACAAAGCAGGGAAAATGTGATAACCCTACTCTGTATTACGCTGATTAATCTTAATTGCGAATGTGATTATGTGTTTGATATGATTTTGAGTGTCATTTATATGAATATATGTGGTTTTAAATTTCTATTTGTTCACTGTAGGAAAATTTGTTTGATTATCTTCTTTAGAATTTAAATTGAAGGCCTTATCGGCCACAGAAATCGAAATTGACTACACCATTGTGATTAGCGTAATTTTTAGAACCCATGGTGAAATTTAATTGAAAATTGATTTGGGTCAGAATAATTAGATTCAGAACAATTAATTAAGCACTATTATTAACCTTAATCAATTTGATTAGGTGAGAGACTATAAAAGGGGCACTATACACTCACCTTCATTTGGTTTTGAGCTCAAGTCTAAAATTGCACTCTAGAGAGAGAGTGTGTGCCGGTTAGAGAGAGAGAGGGAGCTCAAGTTGGTGAATTGCTCAAGAAGCTTGAAGATCTTGGAGTGTAACTCAAGAATTAGCTATAATTTGAAAGGTTTAAGCCCCTAGGTGAGTAATTGAGCAAAAACTTATGAGTTTAAGTTTGTAGTTTTGTGAATTCAAAGTTATATGGCAATTGAGGATATAATTTGAGATGTAATTGATGAATATGGAGCTTGTATGTACATGCATGTGCATAATTGCCATGAATTTGTATAATTGAGCATAAATTACATGATCCATGTTGAATTTTGATTAAAGTTCATGCTTTTGATCATCCTTGCCACCATCAAAGTTAAGAATGGAAGTTACATTCCACATGCAAGCACAATCCATGAAGGTGTAAGCTTTAGTTGCATGAAATTGAAGTGTTGATGATGGGTTTGATATGAATCATGTGTGCATGTAATTGATTCATAGGAATTGAGCTTCATGATGTTATAAATTTGGTGTTTCCATCATATTAGAGCATGAACATGTGAGTTATGGACCATAAAATGCAAGCTATGTCAATTTGAATGCAAGTTGAAGCTCAAAATGGTTGTTGAAAAACCCAAAATTTGGCATGTCCACTAGGGCGAGGAAAGCGCCGCTCGAGCGTGAAATGTTAGCTCCCAGAATTTTTCCAGACATTGATGTCCGCTCGAGCGGGGACATTCACGCTCGAGCGGGGAGCCATATAGTGTGACTTCCAGCTCGAGCGTCCGAATTCACGCTCGAGTGTAAAAATAAGGTAACCAATGCTTTTGCAGACCGTGAGGGTCTGCTCGAGCGGCGGAACCTACGCTCGAGCAGGGATCGCTGTTTCAGAAATTTTGTAAAGGTGTTATGTGTTTCATTTTCCATTCTCTTTCATTTCTAAGCAATCTTAGGCATGCATTGAGCATCATAAATGAGTTAAAAGGATAAGAAAGAAGCCTAAGAGGGATGTATGAATTAAGAACGGATTGAATTGTTTGTGACCCATTGTGTTCATGAAATGTATAGGGTCGAGTTCCAGGGCAAATCCGCCGACAGATCACTGTGAGTAATATCTTAGTAAAGATATTTTGAAGTATGTTATTTGTCCAATTGCTTATTCCTATATAAGTCTTATAAGTTTATTAATTTGAATTATGGACAAACGTTTGTTATGCCATATGGTTGGACCAAAGGCCATTGGGTACAATTGATTGGGCCGAAGGCCGTTTGATATGAAAGATAGGGCCGAAGGCCGTTTGACATGAATAAATAAATGGGCCGAAGGCCGTTTGACATGAATGATTGGGCCGAAGGCCGTTTGACATGAATGAATGGGCCAAAGGCCGTTTGACATTAATAAATGGGCCAAAGGTCGTTGACACGAATGAATGGGCCAAAGGACGTTCGACACGAATGAATGGGCCAAAGGCCGTCGGACAGGAACGATTGAGCCAAAGGCCATCGGATATTAATGAATTGGGCTCGAGGCCATTTGATGTGTTTGGAAATGCAGTCACTTGACCTATATATATATATACTAGATAGAAATATGAATTGGGCCCAAGGTCGTCTGATGTATGTTGTTCTAAGTACCGTTTGTGTATCTTCTTTATTTGATATTATTTACTGGGCTTTTGCTTACGCTTATTCATGTGTTTGTAGGTGAGCCAAGAGAGGTCCAAACCCAGCCTCAGTGAAGTTTATGTGAAACAGTCAAGGTTTTGAAGAGTCAGCCCATACGTCTCATGCACGAGACTTGTTTTCGCCCTTTTGCTATTTTGTTATATTTTTCTTTGTCATGTTGGAGAGAACTTTTGATTACGGTTGTATATAGTTTTGATTGGCTGACCATGACTTGAATGATCCTGTTATGTAAAGCTTATATGTTAACTTTCCTTGATGTGAGTTATTAATGTATGTTTGTAAAATGTTATGACGTGCCATGTAAGCATAGCTCTATGGACAAAAGTTTGAAATTTCTTCCGTTTGGCCCCTTAACTCTGTTAAAATATATCTGATTTGGTTTAAGGTTGTAAGTAATCTCGTGATTACTGGTCGGTTATGTCCTTAACCCAGGGGGGCGGGTTCGGGTAATGACAGAAAAGACCCCCAACAAACACACCAGAGGATGGTGAGATACCACCCAACAAGAAAACAAACAAGCAAAAAAATCAACACCCAAACAGAAAACTAGCAACCAAACTCCAAACAAGCAAAAGACTAGCACCAACACCAACACCAATCTAGTCCTAGCACCCCCCATTCCCACCAACTTACAAAGAGAATACAAGCATCCCAAACACCACCAAACCCTCCAACCAGCACAACACAGCAGCATCAAGACAGAGACGTATACCTGATTTGTTGCAATTTCCGAATGATGTCCTGGACTGAATAGGAACACCCCTTTGAATGAGCTTTGACCCAAAAAGCCACTCTAGCCATAATCAACTCACAGAAATCTGCAAGGCAGAACTACTTCCCAGTAAAGACCACTTTATTTATGAGTTTCCAAGTAAACCATATGACTGCCAATGGAATAACTTTCCAAATTCTAGCTTCAAATTTTCTCCATTTAAATCCCATCCACCAATGTAGGAACCGTTCAACATTACCAGGCAGAACCCACTGTAGCCCCCACCAGTTCAACACTATAGACCATACTTTCCATACAAAAGGGCACCAAAGAAGAACATGATTAATTGATTCAACATCATTCCTGCAAAGAACACAATTAATGGAAGCACTTTGATTTAGCATGCCAATCTTTTGCAGAAAAACAGCTATTTTCAATCTTCTTTTCCATGCCAGCCAACCAAGGAATTGAACTTTCGGTGGAGCCAGATTGTAGCATAACAGACCAGTGCTCACTACAAAAGGACTAGCCACAAAGACATTTAGAAGGGAGGATATAAAAAATTGCTCTGATGAACTTGCAGCCACTTCAAACAATCTTCACTGTCCACTGCCCCCAACTCATCCTGATTAATTAAAGTGACTAACCTTTCCAACTCCTCGGCCTCCCAAGCAAACAACACTCTTCGAAAATTTAGTTCCCAGACCCTTGATAATCTTTTCCTCTCCAGCAATGCACTTAAAGTTATATCTTTTTTCTGTTGATAAATTGTACAGCCTAGGGAACTTCTCCATAAGGCACTGATGCCCACACCAATGACCCATCCAAACCTGAGTCCTGCCTCCATTTCCCACAACCAATTCAACATTGTCAAGAAAGATACTTTTCAATTGAGGGTTTGATTGGCCAACACTCCCACCCCATACCTTAGATAGATATTCATCATAACAAAGAAAAGGCGACCATCTCCTACCATTATACTGGTTCATACTACACAGAACCCTCTTCCACAAGGATTTATCTTCAACACAAAATCTCCACCACCATTTAGCTAGAAGACATTCATTCACATCCTTTAACCTTCTAATTCCCAACCCACCTTGATCCCTTATTTTAGTAATCTCCTCCCATTTAACTAGATGAATCTTCCTCCTTAATTCGGACCCTCCCCATAAGAAAGCCGCCCTCAAACAATCAATTGTCTTGATCACATATTGAGGCATCTTAAAAATGGATAAATAGTACACAGGCAAACTAGACAAAACAGACCTGATGAAAGTTAGACAACCCCTAAAAGAAAGAAGTTTCCTTTTCCAAGATGCTAATTTGGCCCTAATTTTATCGATGACTGTTTTCCAAGTTTTCTTCAACCTAGGGCTGGCTCCAAGAGGCAAACCAAGATAAACTAGAGGAAGACTTTGATTTCGACAGTTGAGCACACCAGCACAGTCCTTCACCATCTACTCAGACACACCAACTCAACATACATAGCTTTTATGGAAATTTATTTTCAGCCCTGACACTAACTAGAAACATCTCAAGATTCATTTTATTGCTATAACCTCCCCTACATCTGCCTTACAAAAGATTATAGTATCATCACTGAACTGTAAGTGTGAGATAGTTGTGCTTGACCCATCCTGACCAATAACCGCTCCTATGATAAGCCCAGATTCACCTGCCCTTTGAATTAACATGTTTAAACCCTCTGCTACCAGATTAAAGAGGAAAGGTGACAAGGGATCTCCCTGCCTGAGACCTTTTTCAGGACTAAACTCCGCCGTAGGAGACCCATTAACTAGTACAGAAACTCTAGGAGTACATACACACTCCTGAATCCATTTTCTCCATCTTATTCCAAACCCAAACCTACTCATCATAGATAGAAGGCAGTTCGAACTCACAGAGTCATAGGCTTTTTCGAAATCTAGTTTCAAAATCAGACCTGACTGACCACTCCTTTTCCACCAGTCAACTACTTCATTTGCAATCAAGACCCCATCCAAAATGTTCCTAGCAAGGATTTTATATATAGAGCCAATAAGACTAATTGGCCTGTACTCTGAAATGCTAACTAGACCCTCAACTTTAGGAATAAGAGTGATAAAGGAACTATTAACACCACCTACCAATTTTCCATTTTCATGAAACTAATTGAAAAACTTTCAGACATCAATCTTAATGGCCTTCCAGCACTTTTGAAAACACAGTAGGTTAAAGCCGTCAGGACCGAGAGCTTTGTTCCCATCACAACTCTTAACAGCAGCCCACACCTCCTCCTCTGCGAATCTTGCTTCAAGACCAACAGCTACACAATCATAACCAACATATTTAAACTAACCAAAAATCTTAGGCCTAATCCTCCATTGTTCAGAAAACACATGCTTAAAGTGATTAAAGACCTCAAGCTTCACTCTTTGCGGGTCCTCATACAACACCCTACCCACAGATACAGAATTTAACAAATTCCTGCTTTGTCTCCTAGACACCACAATATGGAAAAACCTCGTGTTCCTATCCGCCATCATGCTCCAATTCAACCTGAACTTCTGGAGCCACAGCCATTCTTGTTTCTTGTTCAACAACCAAACTTCTTTTCTAAGCTGTCTCCTTCGATCTACTTCAACATTGGATAACTCCCTTGATTCAGCCAATAAGTCAAGATTATGTAGATCAGATTCAACTACCTTCACTGAGTGTGCCACATTCCTAAACACTTCATTATTCCATTTCTTTAAAACCCAACGAAGATTTCTAAGCTTTGCTAGAATAACATAACCAGCCCAACCTCTAACTTCTGATGCTACCCAAGAAGACTTCATAACTGACAAAAACTGGGGATGCAAAATCCAAGCGTTAATAAACCAAAACGGCTTAGGACCCTAATCCCTGCTATCCTCCATTAGAAGAAGAGGGCAATGATCGAAAAGCCCTCTTGGAAGACCCCATAGCGTAAAGTTATACTTTTCTAGCCACTCTAGTGAAAGTAAGATTCTATCTATTCTACTCCAACTACCCCTCACACTTGAGTTACTCCATGTAAATTGTCTACCCTGCATGGGTACATCATAGAGTTCAACACCCTCAATAAATTCATTAAAATCCTTCATCCCTTTATCTGTTCTTGTACACCCCTTCCTTTCCCCCATACTTCTAATCTCAATAAAGTCCCCTCCCCCTAAACACCAAGGATCTACAAACTGTGACTTTAAATTTCGCAGAGCATTCCAGACAACTCCCCTTCTGGCTATATCATTTGGAGAATAAACATTAATGAAGGCACAATTGAAGCAGGGAAGAATCATACCTGAAAGAATTATGAAGTTCCTTAAGCTACAACACTTAGCAAGTGAAAACACACTAGCCTTCCAAACGGATAGAATACCACCAGAAAAACCATCAGCATCAACTGACATATACTCCATATCATCATATGGCCAAACAGACTTGACCAATTCTTCGAACACTCCAGCCTTTTTTGTTTCTTGCCGAAACAGAACATCAACCATCCTCTTCTGGACTATAATTCTAATTTTCCGTCGCTTCTCAGATCGCCCAACACCCCTAATATTCCAAGACAAAAGCTTCATTAAAAACATTTAAACACCTTAACCTCCACCTAATGGGTGCTCATGATCAAACACCATTAGCCACCTGTGCTACTTTGCTTGCATCTTCCACTTCAAGCTCAACAATTCTTCGCATCGCCTCTTCTTCATTGCCTAGAAAATCAATCCCCAAAACTTTACCCAGATTGATGGTTTCCACTGCCTCTGCAATGAGGTCATTGTTTTTGGATGAACCTTGACCGAGTGATTTCGACCGTAACAGAACAGAAGCTATTACACGAAAAGTCGGGCCCTTATGCCAATTTGCCATGGATGATGATCCTCCACCTCTTGACACAATCCTTTGCTTTTGACGAACAATCCCTCCCCTTTTTCCTTTTTCCGAACCAACAACACCCAGAGCCCTAATTTGGGATTGAGCTCGATTAGATTTTGATCCCCTATTTGACAACAGCCACCAGATTGAGTCCCTGACAACGTTGGAAAGTTTTTGCCTGGGCCTGATCTACAGAACAACTGTTACGGGTCTAATCCAAAGCCAAAGAAGTTGAATTAGTGACGTACAAAGAAACATAAAAGTTTCTTTTGGCATGTCAGCCACTGCAAATAGCGACAATCAATGGTGATTGGGGGAGCGCCATGAAATTCATAGAAGATTTACCAGATGCAACCAGGGTTCCCATCACTCGATTGTCCGAAATGGTACTCTTCATCGCAGTTTGGATGATTCGAAGAAACCATTTTGTGAAGAAGTTGTTGGAGAAGATGGAACTACGAGATCTTGCTCACCGTAGTGTTCTCGGCAAGACTGCCCTTCACATAGCTACAGGGGTGGGCAACATTGAGGCAACCAAACTGTTGGTAGAGAAGAACCCAAAGTTGTCTAATGCTGTGGATTTTGGGGGAAAAATAGCTCTCCATTGCGCCGCTGGCAATGGACATGGAGAGGTTGTTCTTTACTTATTAGATGCCACAAAACACTACAAGAAAAAGCACCTTTAACGACTAAATTTTTAGCCGCCAAAAGTCGACTTTTTACATTCCCCGACTAATTTTTTTTTAGTCGCTGGTTTTGTCGCGTATAGATGGTCGGCAGAGGTATTGGCGACTAAAACTTTTTTAGTTGCCAAAAGCAGCTCTTTCGCGACCAACATTTTAGTCACCAATAGTGATTTACACTTTTCGAAATCATACATTTAGCGACTAATCCTTTAGTCGCCAATACTCATTGAATCGCCGACTAATCCATTTAGTCGCCAAAATGAAGACTTTTGGCGACTAATAATTTTAGTCGCCAAAGGTGCTTCCGTGAGGGAAAAAAAATTACCAACTTTTTTGCTTTTTCTGAGATTTGAACCACGGACCTTTTACTTTGTACACCTTTACCAACACACTCCCTCCACTATGCCACCACAAGATCACATGAATATATATGCAATATATATTATTTATATAGTATATTAACCCGTATTAATTTAAAACTATATATATAAATATAATTATTTTTATTCAATATTAATTTATGTAAAAAATAAATTAATTATTAAAAAAAAGGGAGCCACTTTTGGCAACTAAAGTTTTTTTTAGTCGTCAAAAACCTTAGTTTTGGCTACTACCAATAAATTAGTCGCTAAAAAAATTAATTTCCGTCTAAAAATAACCACTTTCGGCGACTAAACTGATTTTTTGTTGCCAAAACCGCCACTTTTGCCGACTAAACTCAATTTTAATCGCCAATTGTCCACTTTTAGCTACTAAAAATTTTTTAGTAGCCAAAAACCTTTACATTTGGCTACAACATTTTTTTTTTTGACACTAAAACACCTACAATCGGCGACCAAACCATTTTCTAGTCGCCAAAGCCTATACTTTTGGCTACTAATCTTTTTTAGTCACCAAAAACCTTCACCTTTGACTACTAAAATTGTTTTAGTCGCTAAAACCCATGTAATCAGCGACCAATCTGATTTTTAGTCGCCAATTGTCCTACTTTCAGTGACGAAATTTACATTTTTGGTCGCCAAAATTCACTACAAAGACCAGCGGCTTCAACCATTTGAGGATGAAAACGGTGTTGGACTGTTGACTTGGCTGTCAGTTTCTGGACTCTATTGTGAGTAATTATAACTAAAACTGTAAATTTACAACGTTAGTTCTCTAATAGTTTAAAGGTTAAAAAATATTTTATATGTTTCTTGTCATTTAATCCCTTCAGTTAATTTGGTCTCAAAGTTATCAATTTGAAATTTGATCCAATTCCAAACTGCTGTTTAAACAGTAATGGAAAAATTATAAATGTTAACTATGATTCATATAGTATATGTTTTGTATCATTTTGGTCCCTAAAGGATCAATTTTGTCAATTTCGTCTTTCAATATTATAAGGTTAAGTTTCATTTTCTTTAGAGTAAATTACATCAGTAATCTCTACATTTTGCTTATTGTGTCATTTTGGTTTTTGTCATTTCAATTTACTCGATTTTGACTCTTATTGTTAAATTTTGTTTCAAATTAGTCTAATTAATAACATCGATTACTGGTGTAATTTGCCTCAAAATTTTGTAAAGTCATAATTTTAATTTATTGTTAACTTAATTATCCCTTCTCATGATTAGTTTATAATTATTATCAGAGTTTTGTTTCTTTCTAAATCTTGCCAATATTAATATAGGAGCATAAGATGTACCAAAAAAGTTGAACTAGATAACTACAATAGTACTGCTTCACAAATACTAATCGAATAAAATAATATTATAATTAGGTTATTTAAAAAACTTAAGAATTTTAAAGAAAATCAACTAGAAATTATGCTGAACTTAGCTATTCTAGAAAATAAGTAAGAAAATATTACAAATAATTTTCCTTATCCTTATGGGGGGAACTCTCTAAAAGAACGTTTTGAATTAATATCAATAATAGATCTAAATAATTATAGTATAAAAGAATTAGAGGTGGCAGAACAAAGAGATAATGAAACAAAATATAAAATTATATTAGAAATAGCCAAAAAAAAATTTAGATAAAATGGATAATAACGTTAGAAGAAATAAATAATAGTAGAATCGAGATAGAGGAAGAACCTTACAACAATTTTATATTACCTTCGTACTTATGTTTTATTTTTATATTATCTTTATGACTAAATTGATTTGAATTTAATATTTTAAATTTTAATTGACAAAGTTGAAACTTTAAGGACATAAACGAAAATGTGTTAAACTTTAGGAACTACAACTTTAATTTATCCATTATAATTTTTTTTTTTTTGGTCATTGTAGCAGGCTAAAATTTTACATTTGAATGGCAAAAATGACTGTTTGCATTGGAGATGCTTTTAGACAACATTTTTCACATTTTCATAAAATAAACTTAAAATTGAAAAAAAAATGGTATGATATTGCTAAAATTGAATAACTTCCTACTAATTACTTTGTTTTCATCAATCTTACCGACATTGCTCTAACCTTGCTTCAACGCTACCCTAATTTGGCATGCATAGAAGAAGTCTCTCCTTTGGAGATAATTGCTGCAAAACGTCCTTCATTTGGAAGTGGAAACTCCCTAAACTTTTGGCAAAATTTAATCTATACGTGTTAGTTTCTTCAATCTCTATTCTTTCTTATCTGTTACCTATTTTACAATTTCATTTATTGATTTTTTTTTAAATTTTTTATCCGTTTGTTGGAAAATGATGGGCTAACTATGCCAGTAGTTCCCAAAATTGTACTTTCTTGCACTTTAGTTAAGGAAAAAGGATATATAATCTCGTTAAGCAAAAATATTCTATGAATTTCAATCCATAAATCATTTTATACTAGCATAATTTGTTGGGATATTTTAACAAAAATAAATTATATTTGACAAAATAATTATAGTTTTATTACAAATTAATATTGTACATAATATCTATTTATTAGAAATTTTTAATATTTACGAAGGATTACATTCATTGTTAATTCTATTGATTAGACAAATTTTGAAAAGAGTAATGCTATATTTGCCATTTTTAATACCACTTTCAATGTACCATCTTATATGTTAGCACATCATTTGATATCAATATGAGTGATGGACCCATTACACCAATGATGGGTTATCTTAGAGAAGAAGAGTGAATTGAAAGGTGGAATGTTTTCTAGAGAGTTCTGTATACTTTTACATATTATATATGTTTTGGATAACTCAGGTTCATGATGTGATTAAGTCTTTGTTTGGCATTAGTTTTTTTAGTTGGCTTTTTTGTGTTGGAGCTTTTTTAGCCGGACTTTTTTAGTCTAATATGGTTTGGCTTTTTTTAATTTCATGAGAGAAGAAGTGTAATGATTATGGTTTGGATGTGATATTTTATCTTATTGACTTATGTAGCCAATTTTGTCGTTTTGTGTTTTTTAAGCCAAAAATCAAATGCCAAACGAAGTTTCAAGCTTTTGGTGGTCGTAAACACTGGATGAAGGACGCTGTAAGTAACTTGAGTTTTATCTTAGAACTCATTTACTCTGATTGTACCTTTACAAGGGAAGAAAAAATAATTTTAAGACAGTGACAATGCGACCCTCAAAATCTCACATCTATTTTTCTCTACTCTTGTTTTTGTCTATATATTATTTATTGTCTGTGTTATTATAATAATTGTGCTCAATATCTTTGCTAATTATTTTGCTAGACTAAAATAATTAGTGAACTTTCCATTCTCTCTCTCATGTAGATGTTCCTATGGAATTGGAAAACATTGCAAAGACCCGTAGCGGAGGAGATATTAAGAATCCTATCAACTGCTTGATTTATGGTAACCTTTAATCTAACTCAATCCCCACAAAACACCATATATTTATAGGGACAACAAATTAATGAAATATGGTGTGTTTGGTTGTGGGAAAAATTTGATTGTTCATTAAACATTATTTTTTAAGGTAAAATTGGGATTTTGGAGAACAGAGAATGTTGACGTGGAGTGTATTTTCAAAAACCTCACTAATGCCCCTCTAAACTTGCCAATCAAACGAAACAACCGAAAGAATTTCTCATTCTCCTCAAATTTTCCAACTCGTGGCCCTCTTGCTTTCCATGATTGTCAAAAAGGAAAAATTAATTTCGTTTTGCGTTGTCATCCCTTTTCACTTATTACTAAATCCATACCACAATGCGTATCCACAAAAAAGTAATAATAAAAATTAAAATAAAATTTAAATCATAGCTTGGGAAAAAAATACATTTATAATTATTGATTAAAATGATTCATTTTAGCATTACTTGTGAATGAAAATCTATGTTCGAAATCTTGTCTTCGATTTCGTAGCAATAAGTTTGCCACCCTAGCATTATTGTCTCTCATCTTTTAACTGGTTTATTATTTGTTGTGCAGTGAAGCAAAGATTGCGTACGATGTTTTGGAAAGTTGTTGAAAAAATTGGTAGGGATCACGAGTGAATATATACCCTTTTTTATGTTTTTGCTAGACTATAATTCATTTTTTAACTACTTCTTTAAAAAAAGTTCATTTTAACTATAGTGCCACAAATAAAGCACATCCGAGAAAAGAAATTGGTACACCATCAAGCACAGAAGCTTGTCCAATGCATTTGCATGGAAGTTGCAAAAACAAATTTCACAGAAGTAGCTAGGATATCTGCACCAGTGTTACACGAAGCAACATCGGCTGGGATTCATGAAATTGTTGAAAATATAAGAGCCATGCCCTCCTATGATCAATCTTTCTAACGCAAAGAAGCAAAACATATTCCAATATGCAATTGCATGTCGTCATGAAAATGTGTTCAACCTCGTATATCAACTTAAGGAGTCTAGTTATTTGGTTCTGTCACTAATGGACGCATCGGGAAACAATGCTCTGCATATGGCTGCATTGTTGGGACCTCAGCATCAACTCAGTCTCAGAGTAAGTGCAGCTGGTGCAGCTCTACAAATGCAGCGCGAATTGCAATGGTTTAAGGTAAATTTTTCCATTCCCCCAAGGAAAAAAATAAAATGATTAAGAAATTTCTTTATATTTCATTCTTCTCTTAATTACTTGACTTTACCACACAAGTTACATATGCCCATATTACCATCCATGTTTTTAACTATGAACTTTGTCAACTCAGATGTCTTAGGACAACCCCTACCATACTCAAACTAGAGGTCGTTAATCTTAAAGATGTGTTGAATCATGGATTTGGATAGAGATTTGAAAACAAAAAGGGAAATCAAAGAAATTTTTTTTCATATATGTTTCATTCACATTATTTTCACATTTTCTTTTTCCCTTTTCAAATCTCTATCTAAATCTATGATCCAAAAACATCCATCTGAAATAGATAAAAGTTGCCTTCTGATTCCAAAATCCCCAAGTTTTGATGCAAAAACCTTCTCGGCTGAGATGTCTCGTGACAACCCCTTTCCACTACTCAGATTAGAGGTCATTGAGCTTTTAGATGAAACTTGTCTTTATCATTCTAAAGCCATTTTTTGATAATTTGTACAGGAAGTGGAAAAATTGGTACTGTCCAGAGACAAAGAAGAGAGGAACACTGATGGAATGACACCTACAGAAGTATTTACTGATACACACCAGGAGTTGGTAAAGAAAGGAGAGAGGTGGATGAAAGACACTGCCACTCCATGCCCAATCGTAGCTGCCCTCATTGTCACCATGGTTTTCACGGATGCCATTGCAATGCCAGCTGGAAACAACAACCAAGATAGACATCTGTATTTTTCCAAACACAAAGCCTTTATAATATTCAACATATTTGATGCATTAGCTCTTTTCTCATCCATTGCTTCTGTGTTGATGTTCTTGTCCATCCTAAGTGCTCGTTACGCAAAAAAGGATTTTCTCTATGCTCTCCCCAAAAGATTAATCATTGGTCGTGTTATGTTATTTGTCTTTATATTATCCATGATGATTTCCTCTGGAGCCACACTCTATCTAATGTTTGGAGATAATAAGGTCTGGATTCTTGTTCTTGTCGTTGGATTCTCCTGCATACTCGTGACCTTGTTTGCAGCCTTGCAATTTCCTCTCCTTGTACATGGTGAGGAAATTTCATTTTGGGTCTAGATTTTATCATCACTACATGTAGTGATGATAAAATCCATTTCAGGTTCGAGCATCTTTGGCAAGCGAAGTGATCGTATGCTCTTATAGGTAAAAAAAAAATCAAATGTTGAGAATGTGAAAACATATCTTTAGCCAAACTCCTGTAGTATTCAATGGTATTTCAAATTACAATTGCTATTTGATTTGGTGGTGCAATGCAATGACTAATGAGAATATTCAGTTTCTTTGTAACTAATGAGTTATTATTGTCACTACTAAAAAAAGCATTTTTGTGACTACTATAAATCGTCGCAAATAATAAAAAAAGTCGCAAAATACCTTTTGTGATGGCCCATGTGACGGAAAATGGGAGTCGCAAATGTGGGGGTGGCAAAAACTTTTTGCGGCGGCAAAGCAACGGTCGCAAATTATTCGCAACCGCCTAAACTACTTATGGCGACCGCTATTTTGCCGTCGCAAAAAAAAAAAAAAATGTTGGAACGTTAAGCACTCTAGGAATAGCAATGACAAGAATTTAGACAGTAAAGCATTGTCGTTTAATCAGGCATTTCATTTGAGTCTCAAAATTGTAGCCACATGTGAAAGTTATGACAACTAAAAACTTGGGAAAAAGTTCTTTTATGAAAAAAATACAATCCAGATAAAAAGGTAGTTCTTTTTATGACTTCTATAAATTGTCGCAAATAATAAAAAAAAGGTCGAAAAATACCTTTTTTATGGCCCATGCGACGGAAAATGGGAGTCGCGAATGTGGGGGCGCCAAATATTTTTTTGCGGCGGCAAAGCAACGGTCGCAAATTATTCGCGACGGTCTAAACTACTTATGGCGACCGCTATTTTTCCATCGCAAAAAGAAAAAAAAAAACTAACATTATTTTTGGCAACCATCTTGTTACTGTTGCAAAAAGAAAAAAAAGTTTATAACGCTAAGCACTCTAGGAATAGCAATGACAAGAATTTAGACAGTAAAACATTGTAGTTTAATCAGGCATTCCGTTTGAGTCTCAAAATTAGAGCCATATGTGAAAATTATTGCAACTAAAAACTTGGGAAAAAGTTCTTTTATGAAAAAAATACAATCCAGATAAAAAGGTAGTAAAGTCAAAATCTACAGTACTGGTGTTCACCACTGTACAAGGTATTCGGTCGAGTTCCAATTTGTTACCATGGAGATATATGTTCCTCAAATCCAAGCTTGCACCTGAGGGGGAATAGATCAGAATACAGAGTATCCAATTTCTAGATCTTTCTTTAGATATAAAGCCTAAAGCAGAGTAGAGAAAAGGCAGAGATTGCAAATAAATAATGAAAACTTAATAAACATTGCAAAGAAATTATGAAAATCAAAATAGACAGCCAGAACACAACCCAGGTGCCATTTACAATTTCAATATACCTATAAAATAACTGCCAATTTTTATCCTAAATGCAAGATTCTTGCGTATGTCATTCTATAGCAATAATATCAACATCAGTATATTTTTTAATCACTAAATGCTGAAGCATATTATAATGAACATCTTAAACTGCTGAATTGATAAAACTCAACCCAATACTCCCAATACATACCAGCCCACATATATCGAAATCAACTACAACAACCAGTCTAAATATCAACTCAAAAAATCTGACCCAACTCTTAAAAACACAAGCTGATTAAGCTCAAATCACACCATCAATAATAATAACTTTTTTTTTTTTTGTTCTTTCCTTGAACTATATCAGTCATGAGTTGCTATGATCCATATTATGCTAATCCTTCAAGTAAAGTTAGTCCAGTCAAAGTTCCTAACAAATTTGATCTAATACCAAATTGAATCAAAGACGGATCACAAGAACTTTCTAAAATTCAACAAGAAATCACTCCATAAAACAAACAATTGTTAAATCTTCAAGGAAGATTTCAGATGAGGTAACTCTTTTAAATCCATTCTCATATCCATAATACCACTCTAAGAAGTTCAGGCACAGTGTAACAGCTCCCCCCCCTCTGGCCGAGTATAATCTTCTCGTTATTTCTTTTTGCCCCTTAACAATAGAATAAAATGTGTTCTCATATGAGTTTTTTTACCAAACACAAATGGTTCGAATTCTTATTTTCAAATCACGAATAGGTTTAACTTATTTTTCAAACCCATGTTATTTCATAAAGTATCTTCAAAACATGACTTTAGGGTCAAAGTCATGTTAACACGACTTCAAAGAATAATGTCGTAATTCAAAACATGACTTCTTAAAGCCGGAGTTTTGACTTCAGGAAACAGCATACAAATCAAAACCACAAACAAAAACAATTTAAGGAGGTATAGACAAATCCCAAAGAAACAAACATTAAGTCTAAATACAAGCTTTCCAGCCAAGATGTACTCCTGAGAAACCAAAAAGTGAATTATGTTGCCAATAGACTTGCAGAAATAGCAAATGTCCATTGAATGAAGATCAAACATTTGAAAAGTCACCATTCCATATTACAAAAGAAGTTCATAAACATTTAGCAGCCATTAAACCATTTTAGATTTACATCACTCCCCTAAACCCTAACCAATATAACCCACTATTCAATAATTTTCTAAGAAAACATTTAATGTTTCCTTGGGAAGTACTTCACTCAAATTAAAATGTCTCCACAATCATGCAAGTATTAGCACAACAATTAAATAGGAATGAAAGGGAACTCAGTGGAAACTAATGACATGATATAACAGAAGTGCCTGATGCCAAATGGAACTTGAGCCACCCATATTAAATTAACATTTTCAAATCTAATGAGAGCATATTGTATCAATTTGATTGCCTCATTCAAAATGTGAACTAAGCATCATCAATGTGAACAAAGCATCTACTAGAACGATCTCAAGTAGGCTAAGAATTTTTTACTTCATTACAATTTCTAAAAAAATTAAATTAAAGTAGATGAGTAGTATTTGTAACACATTAGTGTAGAAAACACAAAATCATACATAAATCACCAATGGATCAAACTCCGTTATGCACGCAAAATAAATAATTTCAATTTCAATAAATATATATGCATAAATTGCTGCAAAATACAAAGAATATATAGAGAGAGAGGAAAAGAAAACATGCCAGAGATTAACGAAGGAAATACCTAAAAATGATGATTTTGTGTTGCTCTAGAGAGATCATTTTGGACAATCCAAGGGCGAAGTTGAAGAAGTTTCTACGAAGTTAAATACCCCCAGTCATGTTCATGGGCGTGGAGAAAAATAATAACAGTAAAACACACTAAGATTATCACCTTTAACATGGTTGCACAAGGCAATTCATAAATACATATAAGTGGTATGCATATGCCTAGCACGCTGATATGTTAAGTTGAAACCATCCAGCAAATATTTCCACACATTAACATTCTAGAACATAAATTGGTCAACGACTTAGATGCCTGATAAATAGAGCATTCGAGACCATTCAAAGTCTGAAACCTGATCAAAGTAATACATTCACACACCCTCTTAGGAAATACTTAAAGATCATCAACAATTAGGAAGAAATTTATTTAAATACATCAACAATCATTTAGCTATTAGACTATAATCTAGGACAGCTCAATGTTACATTAGTTTGTCAAGTGAAAGAAAAATATATTGGATCATAAAATAAAATAAAATAACTGCTAAAATTTTAAGAAACCAAGAGGTTGAGTATTCGAAACAACAACAATCACTTGCAAAAGATGTTTCATATGGTATGCCAATCTATGTTCCTTCCAGGCAATAGCTCACCTGCTCCAAACAATTACAAAGGTAAATGTTAAAGAGAGAAACAATAATGAAAATAGCACAGACAATTAACCAAGCAACCAAAATATTCAGATTTACTCATTTGATCAACCATTCCATTATCAAATACTATGTGATGCAGCAGAATAATTCACACAAGGCTAGATATCGTTCTAGCAGACGAACAAAATCCTTAAATCCACAAGGAAGAAAAAAAACATTCAAGAACTAAATTATATTGCCTCAAAGATGATTTTCCCTAACGCATACATGCATATTTATAATAAAATGAACCCTAATTAAATAAGGAAACAAGGAATTAGGATAATTCCTTTTTAGACACGAAAATCAATAGAAAATTTCCAAAAATAGAAAATATGAGTTAAGCCCAAATCTGCATACTAGGAAACAATATAAACCCGCCAAAACAGACGACACTAAAAATGGACTTCCCAAAATAAAGTTATTCCGAAAACAAAACTTTCCTAAAATGGTAAAATCACTAATTAGAAAGCCTAAACGCCGGAATTTGGCTAAAATCCACCATTCATCATTGCCGAGGATGACCATGACTTTGATTTAAAACGCCATTTCCGATAAGACTACCAAATTTGAGACAATTCCGAGCTCGTCCCAAAAGTGTCGCTATTGCTCTCAATTTGGTTTCTTTCTTGTCTTTTGGCGGTCCAATTGTTCCAAGAAATCTTCGGCTACTTGTTCCACATCACTATGTCTGCCACATTTATAAATTAGTTACGCAGTTGAGATCTTATTATTACTTCTTTTGGTTACTAGCCATAAAGTAAATTGAATTATTTTCTTGGTTAAATTAATAAGAAAAGGCCTTCCATCTAGGTTTCAAACCTCGAACACAGGCTCTTAAGCACCACATTCAATTCAGAAGTGTTAGATCAATTACCACAGTGCATTATGCCATCAATTCACAGGTCAAAAATGCCATCAATTCATGATAGTGCACAATGTACTCAACTGCATTGATGAACATATCACCAATTAAAGCAAATAAGAGAATATCAAACTTCAACAAGGACATGCATATTTTTTCACATGGTAGCTGTGGCTAATTATCATATGCACTAGCATCCTTTGTGCCTCCTAAAAGGAACCTAGATTCTTAAATTACATGTCTAATGTATCATATGCCTTTTCCAAATTATATCTATAAAATGTTAACTGGACTTACCTGTAGAAGAGCATTTGCAATCATAGGCTTCAATACATTAAGCTCAAAATGGA